AATTTCAATGTGATTCTCAGACGTTCTGGAACATTTCCATTATCTCAACTTCCAATATCAATTAGTGGTGTCCACCAATCCAGCTCTCTTCCCTTTCTTTCTTTCTTTCTTTCTCTCTCTGTCTCTTACACACACACACACACACACACAGAGTACTGGAGGACTGATCAGAATTAAGAGTTCTCTGTGCACAGTGACATGATTCCAGAGCTCTCCTCCTTTGGATCTATCCATTCATCCATCCTTCTCTTTTTTTCTTTCTTTCTTTCTCTCTCTCTCTCTCTTTCTTTTCAACCAAGAACTACATAAGCAACTTCTAGCCATTCCAGTGGTCACCACCAGGAAGATCTCACCATGGTCAACCACTGGCCCCCTCAATACCTGTTGTGGCTCGGTCTCAGCAGTACCCCATGTTGTAGTTTTGAACCCAGACAATCCTATGGAACACTAGGTACATGACAACAGCTATAGTCTTTAAACTCCCCTTGGTGAAAAATATATTCCCTGCCTTTCCCCAGCCTAGCCCTCCTTTGTTCCACCACATCTGGAAGAGGGGATAATGGACTTTTCCAGCTCGTTGAAAATATATGGTTTTGCCTAATTGCCTAGCACAAGTCAGAGAGGATTTTCGTGCTATGATAAATGGCTGGGGGTCTCCACTGGTGTTTTATTGCCTGGTGATATATCATGGGGTGACTATTGCTGGGCGGGAAGTGAATTCAGCTTGCAAATGATTGGCCTAATCTCCCCACTCAGCAGAACATTCCACCTTCATTGCTAAATATTTAGAGTCTGAAAAAAACATCAAATGCACATCTGCAGAGCCATTCCCCAGATCGGAAACCTTGGCTCCCTCCCCAGAGACGTACATTCTCTCTTCTTTCCCACATCTCCAGCTGTCACACTGGGTGACCCTGTGATGCAACTTCCTCTTTAACATGTTGGCACTTCTCTTGCTACATATATTTTTCACCTGGCCCCATCTCCTCATCTCCTCACATTAGGGTCTGACAGCAAGAGATCACCATGTCTTTTAAGGCTCCTCAATCATCTTCGGTGTGAGGGCCATTCCCCTCAAGTGATACAGGAAGGTAGGCTTGATAGTTGAGGTGATGGTCTTTTGAGTTTCTATGGACAAAAAATTATGCCACAGCCAACTCATTGATGAGTTTCTTGGAACTTAGCTAGGGTGACCTCTGGAAAATGGACCTGTGGTCCACTGTCAGGTCTCTCCAACTTGGCAGGGCCTAATAGGCCTCATGTTCATGGTCTAGGATGAGGCACCAGTAGAACATGTTAGTGGAGGACCCCAGATTCTCTTGTACTCCGAGTTGGTTCATGCAGTTCTGACAAGATGGCCATGCCTTCCCACGACCTGCTGGGAGTTCCCTTCTGACAGTTCTGATGGGGCAGGATCAGCAGAAATGCTTTGCTTCATGCTCTGCTTTGTGGTTCCGGTGCAGACTCTAGGCCACATCATGTGAGGGGTTATCCTGGGTGGCCCACACATGAACCAAGCTAATCTCAAGTGATGTGCTTTCTCCCCAGCTGGAGCTCTCCAAGAAGGGGATGGGAACAAGGGGAGTCAGATGAACTACTGAGGACCATGTGACTAAGGTCACTCCCCAGCATCCACAGCCCCTGGATGACCCATAGCCCAGTGCAGGCTCCAGGTGTTTTCACCAATTCAGGGGTGCTTCAGACTTCCATCTCTGCTGGGCAATGAATGCCCAGGGAAGCGGCGGAGGCCGTTCATGTACGTGGCCATGTCCTTTAGCATAGGTCTTTACTGTAGCCTGCAGGGTCAGAAGTGAGGCTGAGAGTTACCTCCTCTGCCTTGGTCTGTTTACCTTCAGCTAAAAATAATCTTCAACAGGGTGGCTTCCAGCACACGGCACCTGGGACACTCATCTTTGTTTATGTAGCTCCACAACCAAAGTGCCCTTCTTGTCCTAGGCGCTCGTGGGGAAAAGGGAAGGAACAACTCTAATGAGTCCAGGTCTCCATCCACGTCTGGGTCAAAGACAAGATGGCTTAATGGGAGACTCTGCCTCCAGTGAGGGGGAAGATCTAATCTATGTCTGGAGGGAGGGAGGGTAGGAAGGGAACGCTGAGGGGTGAAAAAGGGCCAAGAGGAGGCTAAAGGATGACCCAGGAGGATGTAAAAGTCATCCTAGTGATAACCATGTGTTCACTTAGGTATCTAAGGCTCTCATATTCTGGCCAATGATTCGCAAGCAGCAAGCTTTATACCAGGAACTCAGTGACCCTGAGCCTCATCTGACCATCAGAAAGAGATCCAGAGACCACGCATGACCTGAAGCATATCTTCCTGCTTTGGGCTCCCTGTGGGGCCATTCTGGGTCCTGGGAGTTACCTCAACCTTGAGAAGAAGTTAATATGGAGCTTCTTTATTTCCTCAGAAAGGGTGGTGCCTTCTGCCTCGTAGGTTTTTGGTAGGTTTCCACATAAGGGCTCATTTGAGTGTCCCAACCACTCTGAAGTAGGTCAACATGGGGATTATGACCCCCATTTTACAGATAAGGAAAGTGAGGCTCAGGGGGTCATTGTTCTGTTTGTATGGTCACACTACTAACAGATACCAGGGACTGGATGTGAACACAGGCCTCTTGAGTCCAACACGACACTGTGATACCACTAACACAGTAGTGCTGGTAGAGAGCAATTTAGCCTGTGAGCTTGGCCATGGTTGAGTTACCTGGGTCTTGCCCCTAGCCAAATGGCTGCAGGATGAGTCACAATGTGTGACCAGACTCTGCTGATTAACATGAATACAAATCACTGTGTCAGCATCATGGCGAGCCTAGGGAAAAGGGTCAACAGGCCTGGGAGCCTGGCACATTCACTGTGGCCCATCCCAGCCAGCCCCTGAGAGTGAAGTCATAGACCCTGCATTAAAGGATACTATGGAAGGCCCAAGGCCCAAGAGTCCCGAAACCTGTTCCAGCCCCAGCCCGGCCAAGAACTAGCTACCCTGGCCAGGTCATTCTCTCCTCAATTTTCTCATGGGCAAAACGAGGGGATTGGTTAGATGAATAAAATCTCTAAAGTCCGGTAGCTAAAATGTTGTCTACCCAGAGGTCCTTCCCAGCTCTGCAGACATTCTACGTTCTAAAGCCCTCCCAGTTTGGTCTGTGTGCATTTTTAGGGCCCGCCAAACTACTATCTTATGAGTTTACATTCTAGTTTTCTCTGGTGTGTCCATGGTCCAGTTATGCTAGGCCTGGAGTCAGGAAGACCTGAGTTCAAGTCTTGCTTCAGACACTCACTAGGTCAAGAGTCTCCACTGTACATAAGGCTACCCTGCCTCAGGCCATCCTTCTCAGGAATGTGGCCCATACCATGGGCCTCCTGGTCCACCACAGCAGCTCTGGAAGTGACCTGTCTGGCACTATGTGTCTGTGCTTATGGCACCCACAAGTCACCAGAAATTGTGGAAGAGGCATCTCCCAACTGCTCAGAGCTTGTGCTGCCTGAAGGGACAGGAATTCTAGGATTCAGAGCTGGAAAGCACCACAAAGACCAGAGTCCCAAAGAGATTAAAGAATTTGCCCCAAGCAAGGTCAGACACGTATAGAGTAGCAGGGAATGAGATTTGAACCCAGGTCTCCAATACACTAAGCTGACTTTCAGTACGTATAGCCTCCCATTCATACAAATGCATACAAAATCACTTTTTCAATCCAAGAGCTTACCAGTCATTATGGTGCACATCTCTGGGCAAGCCGCATCTGAGGCTACTGCACCTTCTGAGTGGCAGGAAATCCTCAATTCAAAGCTCCAGCCCAGTCCTTGGATGTGGCCTGGTTTGCGCAGAGGTCATACCTGGCTGCCCTCATTGACTTTTGCCCCTCGCTCTTACTCCTTTTCACCTTTACTTACATTGGAAAGCAGCCTCAACTTTAATGTATCTCAGATGGATTATATGAGCAGCATTAAAATGATGACAGAAGCATGAATTTCCTCATTAAAGCCCCAAGGGCAAAGGCAATGGGGATCAGGCCAGGCAACCTCAGCCAAGGTGTGCTGAGGACAGCCACTCATCAGCCTCAAGTTTAGCTTGGCACAGGCCACCCTACACGCCAGGCCCGGAACCAGACTCTGGCCATGATTTGACAGCTCTGATTTAAACTATTAGGAAGGCCGAGGATTAAATATTTGTCCAGGTCACTGTAAAGCAGGCATAATTATCATAAACAGTTTAGAGCAGTGAGTGACGGAGGGAGCGGTCTCCGGACACAGATTTGTGAAGTTCAACCAATTCCCCAGGTGGCGGGGAATGGAGAAGACGGGAAGGGGTGTGGGGGTGTGGTATGACACTCCTCAGGAGTCCCTTTAGCTCCTCCCTCCCCAAGGGCCCAAGAGGACAACAACAGATCCCGAGCAAGAGGAGGAAATTCTGTCCAGTGGGCTGGGTAGCTCTTTTCCTGAAAGACTACACATGCAGCACTGTCCAGAAGCTGAGGGATGGACAAGCCTGCCTCCAGAGGTCCCTTTGGCCTTATGAATGTTGATTTTATGGCCGTGAAAAGAATGTGAGCCTAGTTTTTTGAGAGGTATACACAATCCTGAGGATGGTCTACATGTTATGGCACCAGGCTAGAGGCAGAGGACCTTGACCATCAATGCTTGAATCACTTATCACCGACTGTTTCCTTCATTGTCTTTGCTTAACATATCTCTATACCTTTGTTTGTGGGATAGGGGGACACCCCACCCCCATTTCTTGCTGTTGAATCTCTCCCTCCACCTCCTTTCAGGCCAAACTGACACCAACTCTTCCCAAACACATTTCCTGACTTATTCCCCCCCCCCCCATTCGATTGTTAAGGAAATTGAGGACAAGGCCTGAGTCATGTCTACCTGTGCATCCCTTAATACTAAAAATTAGAGCTTGCTAACTTAGGGAATAGCACTGAAATGGCCACAAAGCACCCAGCAAAGGCCAGCAGATGCCTGGGAGTAGATGGCTGGTGTACCTGTCTAGTGAGGCTGCCTCCGAGGTTCATGGTGCCAGAGCCCGATTTATTGGTCTGCAGCCACAGCATCACTGTGGAGGTCAGCTTGTAATGGGCAGTGCGGCCGCTGGATTTCTCCTGGTGGGGGGAGGAGATGAAGAAGTCAGAGAGAGCATGCTTGGAGTGCCAGGTGGTGCACAGGGGACCCCAGCCAGGAAACGAACACATGCTATGCATTCTAATCAAGTTAATCCAATGACAAGCATTCGCGGAGGGTCTGCTTTGCACCAAGCACTGAGGACACAGATAAATGCAAGAAACCATCTCAGCTTGTAAGGCTTTACATTCTAGTGGGGAAGGCAACGTGTACACACATGGGCATATACAGAATATATACAAGGGCAGGGTTGGGGGCAAGAGGTCCAAAAAGGCCTCTCCTCCGCAAAGAAGTAGCCTTTAGGGCGAGTTCTGAAAGAAAGGAAGGCATCTAGGAGGAAGTGAGGGTGAGGAGGGAATGCATTCTAGAAATGAGAACTAACAAGTATGAAGGCAAAGAGATGGGAGGTGGGGTGTGGTGGGGAACGAGCAGTGTGAAGGTCTGTTTGACCAGACTGGAGGGTGCACAAAGGGAAATAATGTTGGAGCAAAGTCAGGGAGGGCTTCAAAGGCCAAAAGAGAGGAGTCTGTATGTGGTTCTGGAGGTAACAGGGAGACACTGGAATTTATGGGTGTATGGTGTGTGTGTGTGTGTGACGGACAGACATGATCAACCCCCCCCCCCCCCCCCCCCGAGGGGGAAAGCATCCGGGGGGGGGGGGGGGGGGGGGGGGGGGGGGGGAAAAAAAGGACCCCCCCCCCCCCCCCCCCCGCCATTAGGAATATCACACTGGCAGCTGTGAGGCTGGAGGGTGGGGGGCATAAGACATGAGGAGGGAGACCAAGGCTGAGGCTCCTCTGAGGTAAGAGGCCCCATGATTTGACATGGAGAAAGTTATTGCACACTTCCTCTTCTCACTCTCTTTTTAAGATTTTGGTTTGTGACCTCATCATTCAAATGAAAATGCTCTCTCCAAAGTTACCAGTGATGTCTAAATTGCTAAACCTGATGGCTTTTTTCTCAACCTATTCTTTTTGATGCTGCATCATGACACCATTAACCACCTTCTCCCTCCCTGGCTTCTCAAGTCTCTGCTTTCTGGTTCCCTTCCAGTATGACCTCTCCTTTTCACCTTCCTTTCCTGACTAATCATCCATATTGTGTCCCCTAACTGTAGGCATAGCCTTAAGCACTATCCTGGGGCCTTCTCTTTCTCTCTATACTTTTTTCTTGGTTATTACCTTAATAGCCCATTCAGATTTAATTACTAACTCTATGCAAATGACTTTAGAATCGATATACCCATCCCTGGTCTCTCTCCTGAGTGACAGCCTCCACCCCCCCCCCCCCGCAAGAAAAAGACCCCAACAACTGCTTATTGGACATTTCTAACTGACTGTACCAAGGTGTCACTCGCACTCAGTTCTCAACTCAGATCCTGCCCAACAGATTTCACTGTCCTTCCCTCAAACACAGCCCCATTCCAAACTTTGTCACTTCTGTCAAAGACACCACTGTCCATCCAGCTGCAACCTCACTGTCACTACTGACTCCTCATGTCCAATCCAGCACCAAATCCTGTTGTTCCTATGCCTACAACGTCACTCACATAGACCCCCTTTTCTCTACTCACGTGGTCATCTCCCTTGTCTAGGCCCTCATCACCTAACTGTCACGATGGGTTCCCAACTGGTTTCCCTGGATCAGGTCTCCCCTCACTCCAATCCATGCACCAGAAAGCTTCCAACACAAAGTATAAATCTGACCATGTCACTCCCTTACTGAAGAAATTCCAGTGTCTCCCTACTACCTCTCGGATCAAATACAAATTTCTCCATTTGACATTTTGAGCCCTACATACCCTGGCACCAGCCTATCTTCCCAGCTTTGCTCTGTATCACGGACTGGTCAGACTGCCTGTTCTGCAGTTCCTCACACATGCAGGCCATATCTCCCATTTTTGTGCCTCTCTACTGGCTCTTTTCCATTCCTGGAATGCACTCTGGCCTCCTCCAAGGTTTAGATCAAACAGCGCTTCTGGAGGAAGCCTTTCCTGATCCTGCCGTATTTCTTAGATACCTATAGATGTACCTGGAAGCTCCTTAAAGGGAGGGAACACTTCCTTTTCGCCTCTACGTCCACTGCATCAAGCACTAAGCAGGCACTGAAATGCTTCGTTAGAAGTTATGTGTTTTCTTTAAAGTCCCAAATGATTTTAAAATCTAGCATGCCCTCAACCTCTTGCCAAATCACCTTGGATACAAAATATTATGGGTTTGCCTTCATTTTGTATCTGTTCATGTGTGTACATATTGTCACCTCTGATAGAATGGAAGCTACCTCAGGCCAGGGACACTTTCCAATTCGTCTTCTTCTCTTTGGCATCTGGCAGAGGACCTAGCACACAGCCAGCAACTGAGAGATGCTTGGTCGCTTAGATACAGAGACAGAACGCTGCCCCCACCACCCAACTACTTGGTTTTCTTTACTGAGGTACAGGGTTAAGGATCTGCAGAGGCTTAGATTTTCCAAGTATGCTCTGCATCCAGGGCAAAGGCCTATTTTCAATCCCTCTGGTTTCTTTATCGTTGTTATTACTATTATATAATTCTAACTTATCTTTGTCCAAATGGCTTCAGGGTATTTTCCAGCATTAACAGGGGTTTAAACTCTACCCCATCCACCCCCTGCTTTTAAAATAAGAAACATTAGCTGCCATGCAGGATCGTGGGGCTTAGCTGTCCTGAATCAGATGCCGCCTCCTTTCCTGTGGTGCTGCTTTCAGCTGTGTCAGTGTCTGTACCTGAACTTCCACCACATGGATGGAATCCCAACAGCCTTTGATCTTCTTTGATCCATCGCCAGCCTTCTTAATAAGGATCACTCCTGCAAAGCCGTGATCCAGATCCCAGAGGTAGACAGAGGAGACACCACCTTCAAAATACCTGTAGGAGGCCCAGGTATCGATTAGACGGGAAGCTTCCATGCTCAGCTTCACCAACCCAAGTCCCAGGAGAAAAACACGGTCCCCCTTCTTCTTTCATTTGGCCAAGAGCCACTAAATGGGTGCTCAGGACTCCAGGATGTCCCTGCCTGATAATGGTGCCAGGATGTCCATTTATCTTTTATAATGAAGATACTTTATGGAAGCGGAAGAGGAAACAAAAGTTAGAGTAACCTCAACAGTTACAGATTCCTTAAGGATCTGAACAAATGGGGCCTCCAGTTCCAATTAAGCAAAGCAGCTCTTTCAAGAGGAGCTAGCTACAAAAGCCGGCCAGAAATTCAGGGCTGTGCTGAACAACATCATTCCCATTTTTGTCTGAGCCAGTCTGGAAAATCCTTAGATTGAGCCTCCTAATTAAGATAAAATGTATAGAGGGAAAGAAAAAAGAATGGAAAGTGTGGTAAGGGTGTGCCAGAGATGGAGATCCAAGAGAGGGAGATGTCAATTTCTTTTCATTTTCCATGGGATGAAGACAACACTGCAGACACTCAGGAGCTCAGATGGGGGGAGGAGGTGGGGGGACACGAGGGAAGGCAGTACTCAATCACAGCAACTACTATTTCAGCTTGGTGTAATTATCCAAGGGTACTACCACTAATAATAATAGCTGACATTTACACAGCACCAGAAAGTTTCAAAGTACTTTATACAGCTTATCTCCCTTAATCTCACAACATAGGTAGGTGTTATTATTACCTCCATTTTGTAGATGAGCAAACCCATCCCCAAGAGAGGTTGAATGACTTGTCCAGGGGCAGCTAGGTGGTACAGTGGATAGAGTTCTGGCCTTGGAAGACCTGAGTTCAAATCCGGATTCAGAAACTTGACACTTACTAGCTGTGTGACCTTGGACAAGTCACCGAAACCCAACTGCCTCACCCCCCCACCCCACAAAAAAAAATTAAAAAAAAAAAAAAAAATGACTTGTCCAGGGTCCTATGGCTGGCAACCACAACTGAAGCACTAATCTCACGTAACTAAAAGCACGCTTCTCTGCCTGAACAGAAAAGTTGAACTCTCCAATCTGCACCAAGCCCAGCATCGACTCTATTGTGAATCTAAAACCACTGATACTCAAGAAAGGTTATTGTATCAGGACTGACAGAGCCATCAAGTAGAAAGGCTGACCTTAAATTTCAATCCTTCATGGAAAGGGCAGGATAATGTATTCTAATTACAGTTTGGGCACAAGAAAATCCAGTAGAATTGTAGAATGTCAAGAGCTGGAAGGGACGTTAGAGACCATCTCATCCACCCCTCTTATTTTACAGCTGGAGGAATGCAGGTCTAGAGAGGAGTGACTTGCCTAAGGTCATACAGCTGGTTAATGACTGAGTTGGAACTTGAACCTGGGTCTTCTGACCTCTACATTGGCATTCAAAGTAACCAGTATCCCGATCATTAAGAACCTGTCCAACTAGCACTTGAAGGAAACGTGTCCAACGTAGACTTATTTTGCCTTTGGGGACAGATGTATCATCCCATTCTGTAAAACTTGGAGGCCATTTTGGGGGAAATAGAAGACTCTACAATACATTCATTTTGCCCAGGGATTTCACCCTAATTGGGGAAACACTAGATCTGGGGCTCCTCTCCCTGGCACCGAAGGCCCTTAGTAGTCTGATTCTATCACCCTTTCCAGCCTCAACCCTTCACATTTGCCCTCCTCACATATGATGGAGACTCCAGCCAAAATGTGCCTCTGAACCTCTGCCCTGTGCCTTTGTATATATGCTGTCCCTGCTATGGGGAACATATTCTCTGTTCTTTTTTATTGGTGGTCCATCTACTCAGGCTTAAAAGCTCAACTCCAGAAGCCTTGTATGATCACCCCCCACCCCTCACTGGTATTCCTCTGGAATGCCCTCACCCCACAGATCTCACATTGTACCTCAGATGTATTAATCACAGCTAAGTTTTTAGTAGAGTTATCTATGCCTGCATCTCACCAGCCCCACTGCCAATAACAGATCTTCATGAGGGGTAGGCGCTTAATGCTGAAGTAATCAGATCTTCAGGTACAGCCTGCTATACTACTGGGTTCCAATGCTAGAAATCTCTGGGTTATCTCTTGGAAATCCAACGTGATCCTAGTGTTTTCGGAGTAACTTGACTCAGGGAGGTAACCTGGACCCAAAAAGAGGGCCATCCTAATCAGAATGCAGCCCTCCTGAAAACCATACATATCCAAATGGTGTTCTAGCTGTAGACTGGGTCATTTTTGTGAGTCCACAGGGGCATTACCATGACATGTCACCTGTATTCCTGGAGTACATTCAAGAGAGATTTAACAAGGATTCAAAGCTGAAGCCATTACAGGACTTGGAATTTTACAACGCCCCAGAGAATCCAGCACCATAAGCTCTGCAAGTGTTCCTGCCTGTTTTGTCAGATTTTAATGACTCCCTGAGCCAGTTAGCTAAATTATTAGTCAAGCCTACAATAATGACCAAATTAGCTTGAATCAGCCCACAACAAGCTCGTTAACACTGTTTCTTTAGGCGGCTGATCACTGGATTCTAAAACCTGGTGAGTTTTCCACCCAGTCTGCCTGTTGGGAGGGCAGCCCCAAGTCAAAAGGGAGAAAAACAACTTTATGACCGTGGCATCCCTTATGTGCCGAGGGAAGTGGAAGAGCCAGTAACTCCCTCTTACTTTTGGCCTGGAGGCCACAAGGCCACACTGGAAAGATGGCTTGGAACCTGACTGGCATTTTCATCAGCCGGCTCCCTAAACAGTTTTGCAGCTGAAAAGTTTTGGGTCTTTGAGGCCCGCCAATCACTCAACTTCTCAAACCCATGATACCATGTTGTTCTTGGGTGGATGCTAACCCCATGTGCACCAGAACACTGCAGGAAATAGGGAGGGGGAAACTAGTCTGGAAGGAAATCATGAGAAATCTTGGGGGCCTGACAGCTCTCCAAAGCCCCAGGTAGCTTCCATTTTCTCCCTTAGCCCCATCCCAGTTTTCTGTTTATGTCCAGAAAGAAAAACAGGAGTGTGTCGACATTTTCTAAGGTGGAACTGGTCATTTCCCATCCAATGCCCCACCCTGTGGCCTGGCAAAGGGAAAAATTCTCCAGTTCTCCCTTGTCTTTTATGAGGAGCTTCTCTCTAGAGCCCCTCACCGTTTCTTATGTCTCCTGCTACTCCTCCCTCTCCTTCCACTCACGACACCTCTCACCAGGTCAAAAGGACCAAAAGACCTGAGGCAGAAGTGGTATGTTATCTAGATACAAAGTGATTTCTTTTTAGTTTTCAATGATAAATCACTGCCACAGAACTAGAGAGTAAGAATTCTATAGTGATTAAAATCCACAAAGTACTTTTTATTTCTGGTGTCTCCTCAAAGCTCTCCCCTTGAAGCTAGCCCATAACCCTCTTTGGAAACAGGGTAGCCCCTGGCTGAGTCAACCCGTTATGACAAATAGCCCTGACTTTTTGAGAACAGTCTTGCATTTCCAGCACCTAAAGGAATGGCTGCAGCCCACAGCAATCACAAGTTCCAACCTGCCTGACACATGGAGGTAAAGAGAGCAAAGGGACTGAGGGAGATCCGAAGAGACTACTTCAGAGTCACCCAGAAATGTCAACCCAACAAGTGCTTTTAAGAGAGCTCCCCAAGCACACTTCCTTCCAAGACAACGAGCACAACCATCATTACAGACTCTACAGACAGATCCCCTATTACACAGTTTATGGGCTTGCTCTGCGCGTGAAACATTAATTAAAGAGGGACCTCAACAAGCTTTGGAAATCTATTCTTACCTACCGTACTTTGATCATAATGACATGGAACAGGGGAAAAAATAATTTTTATGTGGTTCACATTTATGAGTTTTTACATAAAGGCTTTTGTGGGTATTTTAAGAATGCACTAAAATGTTGTCTGAAACCACATGAAGCCATCTGACGAGGCTCCCGCCCGAGCTAACGGCACACACATGGAAGCACTTACACCAGCCTTTGTATATTTAATGAGTCAAATAGTATTAATATTGTTTAAATGCTAACATGCTATTTCAATCAGGCGGCTCGGCCATCGCCGATGACTCCCTCCTGGGCCTTGCACGTCAATGGGAACAATCCAATGCGGCCGTGTGTCGAGGGCATGCTGGGATGGAAGCCTGCCGGGTGCTCTGCCAATGCCCAAGAGTGTCAGAATTTCACTGGCTTTCTAGGAGGACAGAAAGGGGGGAGCAGGCCTGTTACTGATCACAGCTGGGGGGCAACGTGGGCAAAGAGGCCCTAACCCTTCAGAATGGTCTGTTTTCCCTTGTAAGAGCCTTGGAATGACTGAACCAGATCAGAAAGCTCATGGGAAGGGGTGGAAGAAACATACCAAATACAGATGGATTGTAAAGAATGGAGAAATTATTTTAAGTGGAGGTTTCCCGAAGAGAAATGTATATTCTTTTAAAGAACTGTTCCATGAGTTAGAACGCTAGAATTGTTACTCTTTTTTTTTTTTTTTAAAGGATAAAGAATGAAGTGACTCACAATAGGTCACTGAAATCCAGGTCTTCTGACTCCAAATCCAGAGAGGAATCTTTTCACGGTACCATTCCTGCCTCTCATAGAACAAAAGACAAGGAACCAAACTGGAAATCAAATGTATCCTGGGTAGACAGGCAAATGAAATCTATTTTATAACTGAGATCCAGGACTAGACCTGGGAACAGGAGGACTGGGTTTGAATTCTAGTTTGGATATTTCCCAGCTGTGTGACCATGGGCAGGGCAGGTCGCTCCTTGGAGCCCTAGTTTCCTGATCTGTAAAATGGACATAGTAACATTTCCACCCTCCCCAGTTTATAGGGCTGCCTGCTGTGGGAAAGGTACTTTGTGAATTTATAATTCGCACTCCAGAAATGTGAGTCATTATCCTTATCATCCACAAAACAATTAAAATTAAGCCTTCATAGGGGTTTAGTCTAAA